TTAAACTAAACGACTTCGGACATCTAAATGTTATCCATTGTTACTGAAAGTTTATCAATGTTAAGCCACGATACGCTCTTTGGTGACCCTCTTTACGCAGCTATTCACATCAATACGCACCCTAAAGGGAACATGTACGAATATAAAGAGGGTATACACATCTTCGGGGACAAATACGTACCTCGATAGACACATTGTCCGTACCGTGAGAGACATAAATACGCTACCCGAGACACATTAACGTGGTTTTATAGGGACCAAATGCGTATTTTAAAAAACTGGCGGAATTTACAATGATTTTAGGTAAAAGAAATTTACAAGTTTTGTGAACTTTTTATATTTTTCAATCATTTTAGCAATAAATGTTAAATTTATCCATTTTTGTGAGAAATAATTAAGGGATATCGTTTCAAGTCGTGAGTGTGTGAGTTGTGTTTAATGCCATGTTAGGATTATTCTATCCATGTGACGACAGGAGACACTTGCATGTATACTAGTCGTCCTCATGAAGGGATTCGAACCCAAGCCTTCGGCGTGACGACCGGGTAACACCACCGCCTCGTCGTAAAACTTTGGAAACATATAGCTTAATATATGTCTATTTTATCAAGAAGATGGATGCGAGTTCAGATTTTAATCATCTCCGATTAAAACACCGAAAAAAACTACCAAGAAAATGTGGCTATAAGTTACAAATAACATGATAACCCTATTACATCTGAAAACGGAATTCACATGGGAATAGCACAACTGTTTCCAGTGACAAGCTGACGTTATCCTTTTCGGATGATGTATTCTCCGCAACACGAAATATGAACCATATATGTTCACAAAATCGTACCCCAGTAATTATATATACATCTACATTGTGTATGGTCACGCAATCAAGAAATAGACGTGCATTGTTATATAGATTATAGTATACACATTTATAGTTTGTAATATTTCTAGATAACGGTAATAAGTAGAAAACATGTCCTTATTAAAATACTTCAAAGATATGGTTATCTTTAGAATCTTTATCAAGGTATGATATACCACATCAACCGAGTCCGAAAACGTCGATAAGTACCTCGACAAACACCTTCACATACCGTTTTCCATTAAACAACCTGACGCTATACCCATCGCCGAACATGGATAACGTTAAACAGTTTGAGAATGAATAAATAATTATGTGAACTACAGCTGTAAAGAATAGAGACTGATCTCAGATTTGAATAATATGTCCGCTCACGACAGTAGAAGGGTCATAGAATTTTATCACCATCACGACAGATGGCGAGCATTATCAGCAACTGTTTAGGAATTAGCGAACTGGTTGTCCTTCATAGAAGATATGATGCGGTATGAACGCTGCCGCATTTCCCCATCGATATATTTAAGTATGATATGTGTGTCACAGTTTTGTTACATTCTGTCTCCCTAACCAAACCAAAACTTAAATTCATATTAGTACTTTTTTAAATAACGTTTATGACGAAATCATTACCGTATTTTAATCAATGTGTACGTTTTTTATAGGCTTATATGTATAAGATTTGTATGATCCAAGACTTGGGTTCGGTTTGCAACTGGTTTACAATATGTGAAGACCATTTTGAGTTCAAACATGTTTTTATTGTCCATTAGGAAATGGGATTGGCCCAAGTGCAACACTTTTTGTTGTATTCTACCATTTACTGTTAAACGTAATGTAACAAAATGGAAATGAATAATTTATAATTGAAGATTGCTTTGTGGAAACAGTGCACACTTTCACACAGTACTGGTTTAAAGGGATATCTACATGAAAATGAAATTAGTTTACATTTCACACATTTACAAATATTATACAGTTAAAAAATTAAACATAGATGTGACAATTTTAATTAGTTACGATTTGGGACAATAATATGATTGCTATTAAATCTGTTAGTTTTTTTCTACATGTGTACAGATAAAATATATTTGTATTCAGTAAAACGTTTGTTGGTATATCCTGTCGTAATTACTCATACATTGTATGTGAAAACAGTAGAGGTATCCGATTGGTCCTGGTTGTGTGTATCTAGTCAGAGCCACACATTTAAACCACTACAACCAGATAATGAAACATTGAATATTTGCAGCAAAACACAGTAGTTAAAACCATCTTGTTACACGAATCATCTCCTTAAGACTGTGAAACATTGCATCTCATAGAACTAGGTTTCTTGACCTAAACGTCCCTTATACCTTAACGCTGTCCGTAGGTGTGGTGTGGTGGGGTGGTGTTGGGTGGGGTGGGGTGGGGGACGTAGCCATCCGACCATCTACTTTACCCTTATCTCCTTACAACCAATTGCAACGTTGTATACATCTCAGCCTTTCTTCCTAATATTAGATTATCTAGCTTCCTATCTATTCCCAAGCCATGACCTCTCGATGAACAGGGTATTGATGATTAATGATGGCGACTTTCAATATTAATAGATAACTGTACGTTATTAGCAGTACCATGTGTACTGTAAGGTTAACTAGTTACCAGCTGAGTCTGTTAACAGGATAACGATACACTAACTAATGAACAAGACCCTGCATATATTGGGGGTGGGGGGTCTAGAATGTGGTTTGTCGTACCTACATGACCCTGACACAAATATGAAATATTATTTTTTTTAATTGAAATTCTGTACCGCATGCACTGCGGTTCATCCGTGTTCCTACTTTTGCAAGAACAGACAACATTTAAAGAATAGGTTTTGATTTGATCGCCATTCGACGTGGTTTGAAATTTCTTTCAACTTTGAACACACAAACCTATCCTATCTATTTTGATTAGCTCATTCTTGGGTAATGCACCTGATGTCGTCACGACACCAGGTCACAGTATAATAGATACATTTAAACTATGATTATAAATAAATAAACATTTGTTTAAAAGTAAACAGTGTTTCACGGACGGCGAAACCAAGCTTATCTTGAGAAGGCCATGTTTGTGAATATGAGTGTCAATATCGCCAGATAAGAATGGACCCGTTCTCTTACCTAAAACATCAAAGAAATATGTGAAACCACACATTGAGAAATGCTTCAAAGGCCTAACTTTTGTGTTAAAAAATCTTTTTAAATCACCAGTAAATACAGTCTTATTTATTTTGAAACCTAGTTCCGGTAAAGGCATTGAAAGCGACAAAACTTTAGGTCGAGTCGTTATGAAAACGTCCTATGTTAAACTTTACAAGGAGAGGATTACATTTAAAACGTTCTTCCATTTTATACATATGTGTAAACTGCTGGTCAAAAGAGAGCATTCACTTGAGAATTGGTTTTAACAAAAAATATAATCAAAACGACACTAGGCTGACCTGATATGATACATGTAATATCGTCTATGATACCCGTATCAAATACATCAACATCGAATAACCATCTCTTGTTTGTTTTATTAAAGCCACCATCAAACATAGGTGTATCGATTCTTTTGCTCAGTTTAGTTACATTTATTTTATTTTATATTATTACATATTCCGACTCAGCAAGTATGTTGTCCATGTGATGGATTACGTTTACAGTAAAACAAGCCTTTAACATAAACCGGTCTATGAATAAAAAGACTTCAAACATTATGCTTCTTATACACTTTCTAAAAGTATTCGTTGTTTTAGTTATCTTAAAATTTGGCTCCAAATGTCTTACTGTATCATAGTGATGTATCAATTGGAATTGAGGAATTTTGAGTATTCCGCAACAGCAGCGCAGACGGTCAGTCGCAAAATGGTTCTTTTAACGATTTCCAATTGAGTTATTTTCGTTTCTAGGCAATGAATTTTGTCCGCACTACAGTTGAATTGCAACTGGCATAAGGCTCTGGGAAATCTATGGAAACAAAATGCTTCTAAATGAAGGTTTGGTAGACGTTCATCCTCGCCGCGAGAGACAGCATGCATTACGCCTAGTGATTTTTAACTGGAATAAAATTAAATTAAATGTAAACATTTCCATTTGTTCGTTATCCCGTTCAGACACTTTCTTTCTTTGACATCATCTTTGAAGATGTTCAATGAACGACCACAATATGCTGCTAACGATGATAGCAAGATGTCGGTATAATCACAATAGCCAGTAATTGATTTCTCTTAGCCATATTATTTAGCAAAATATTTAACATACAAAACTTCTGCTTCCAAAGAGGTCCGATTATGACATGTGTGAATTCAATTTAGATAATATCAATATTATCTAATCAGGACATACTGATATATATTTCATATAGCAAAAAGTAAATATTGTAACATAAAACATGTTATTTGAAATGCATTGTCATATTGATTAGATGCATGAGCTGTGCTGACGATCATTATATTATCCCTTATCTCCGATTTATATCTCCATTTTATGTTGCAGACCTCTAAACGTTAAAACAATTATGAAATGAATTTTAACGTGTTTGCATTGTCTGTTATCAGTGTTGATTTCAGCAGCTGTCAATCTCTTGGTGAGAATATATATCTCACAGAAACAGTTTTATGTTCGGCTGTACCTGATCCACCTGGGGACCAATTCTTCAAATATGCATGTTTGATAAAATTTAATCATATATTGATTAACACAATAGCTCCTTGTTATTTTTATAATCACAAATAAAAGTCAGATTCCTTTAATGCTAATGTGTACATTTTAATCTTAAGAAAAAACGTTTTTGAGTTGAATATGTTGTTTACGTAGAAACATCAAAATATGAAATGTTTAAATCGTTAAAATAATTCAATTTTGTCAATAACAATACAATCATTTGAAAACATTATTGACATACAGGTGAGCGGGACGTTGGTTGCAATAAAGATGTGTTTTCGAAATGTCGACACAGATTTATCACAACAAAATCACATGTATTTGTTTACGAAACTACGGGAAACACTCAGTGAACAGGATATGCTATAGAAAACACGGGTGCACGTTTATAACGGAAATGTGTTGTCAAACTATAGCCAGGTGTTGAGGCCACTGTCCTCCTTTACCCATAACGAAACTCTTACCTGTCGAGTCCTCGGATAGTCCAGTCAACGTGTATACAGATAATCCTAGCAGTGGTCAGCCGTTAAGACCAGTGCTGACCGTAGTGGTGATCGTATCTCGGACACCCGGCAAAACCGTGATCTACTCGCTCACCCGATTGATAAGTGTAGTGGGGTTGATCGCGATCAGTACAATGATTACTCCCGGAGGACCGATAAACTGTCACTCTCCCTTACGGAACGCCCCCTAAATCGATAGGACCAATCAGAAACGAGTATTTGACTTTCCTTTCTGGCCTTTCAGTTAATGTACCCGCCCCCTTTGTCATTCCCATTGAAACCCGTTGCTGTGTTCGCAAAGGCGTTTCTTATTCGACGGGTGCGACGTTAATAGTTTTAACACCCGATTCAAAGTACAAACAAGACAGGGGTTCCATAAAAAAACCTCGGGGTAACCTGATAGTGCATTTACTCGTCAACGCTGTGAGCTGGGTGGATATCACAAACAAGTTGTCGGACAAATCCGCGAATACTCTGCATCCAATAAGCAAGAATGCCGCACTGATTTAATTACGTAGTGTTTTAAATACAAATGTAAACAAAAATCATTAAATTAATCTGTTTACATTCGTTGTTCGAGTTACGTTGAACACATAAAGTGTTTTTTCTGACGAAAAGTACGGAAGGGGTGGTAGTTCTTCCACCGTAAACAAACGTAAAGGCAGAAGCTTAAGTAAGTACATTATAGTATTAGTATTGATGTCAGTACTTTGAACAATGCCGCAGAAACAATGTTCGATACAGTTTGTGAACATTGTCAACGGATTGCAAATATTGACTTAAATTATATTATTATCTTTCCGGAATGTGAACAGGAATTGATTCCATTGATTCACATGAGCCGTTTGACATTGTAATTATTCATTTATCTGTTTAACATCTATATATTTTTATGTTACACGTTTTCCTATAAGCTGTGACCCACTTCGATAAAATTTATATACATACAAAATTATACTCTAAAACTCAGAAGCTGATGGTGATTTTCCACAATGATCTCCTGCATATAGAGCAAGATTATTGAGTGAGTAAGTGAGTATGGTTTTAAGCCGCTTTTAGCAATATTCCAGCAATATCACGGCTTCACACATTATACCCATGTCGGGAATCGAACCCGGGTCTCCGGCGTTAGGAGCGAACGCTTTAACCACTAGGCTACCCGACCGCCCTACATTATTATTGATACGTATTACAACCATACCTACTTATATTATACATCAGGGGGCACGGGTGGCCCAGTCGACTAAGGCGCCGCGATTCGCTGTGCAGAGGGCGTCCCTTGGGCACGCAAGAAACCTATGATTGTGGGTTCGAATCCCGGTTCGCCCCGATTATGTTTCTAGGTTTGTCAGCCCCATACCCGTGCTCGTGGGTTTCACCGAACTGGTAAACGTCTGAGACCTGCATCACTTCGGGCTTTCCTCCCACATTAAGCTGAAACGCCGCGATATAACTGGAATACTGTTAAAAGCGGCTTTAAACATAACTCACTCACACTCACTGTTATCATACAATCAGACACTGACGAGTTGAGCGGTAATTGTGAAATGCAATGTTTTATGAGATGAGTCTAGTTAATTATAAACATAATGTGATATTTATAATGCGGCAAATCCACTTAAAGCATGCCCAAAGGGCTACATATTTACCCTGGTCAATGGGTCAGTGTGTACCAGATTTTCATTCTCAACTCCCTGGGGCGTATACTCAAGTATGACCATTTGCGTGAGTTCGATATCGTATTGAAAGTAGAATTCAATCAAAATACACGGAATATGTATTATATTTATTGGTATCTTCATTTGTTTAATTCCAAAAGAGTACATAGAGGTACATTCCGTTGTATTACATTTAACCACAGTTTGTAGATAACTTGAGAATCTTTCATACTTACAAGTTACACACAACCAAATGTTTTCCCATAGACTTCTATAGTAACGTTATATTTAAAAACAATTTAACTAAGCATTCAACAGCTATTACCTGTACGTGTGTGCACAGATTGGGCCTAGAGCAGCAATAAAAACAAAAAAATTACTAGCTTAGCCAGCTCCTTTTCCGAGTACAGGAAGCTAAACACACCATCCCCAGTTTCGCACCAAATGTCACCTACTTGAAAATAGCTGTGGTCACATTCAGCATAAGTCATCATGTTGAAAAAGACAGCACTAAATGTAGAAAAACATGGTCAGTTTTAATAACTGGATGGATGTACATTTAAAAGACATAAAAATCTTACACAATATCCTCCAATCACAGCCTGGAGATATCCCTCGATCTGCACTGAAGGCTGGTTCTTATTTCGTGTAGTAGAGCCTTAAAGGGATGCTCCGCTCCAATATCTGGCGTCCCTCTTCTTCTACTGAGCGTGGTTCCCCCTTTAATGATCTTATCAATAACAGATGTCTTTGCTTCCTGTACAGTTAGTGAAGCCTAACCTACTCTGTCAGCGTCAATCGAGGTCGTACGATAAAATCACTGCGTGGGTACCTTAGATTAGCGCTCCCAATCCGCCGAACACGGCATGAATGTCGATGCTCCACGTACAAGACGCTGTCGTAATAATATAGTGTTAACGTCGTATCCCAATGTACATGGCGTCGTCGTAGACATATAGCTTTAACGTTGTATTCCCATGAACAGGACGTCGTCGGAGACAAAAAGCGTTATAGTCGTATCCCCATGTACAGGACGTCGTCGTAGACAGATAGCGTTAACGTCGTATCTCCCCGTACAGGTCGCGATTGTAGACAGGTAGCGTTAACGTCGTATCTCCACGTACAAGGCGCCCTTGTAGACAGATAGCGTTAACGTCGCGTCTTCACGTTTGGACGCCGTTGTAGACAGATAGCGTTGACGTCGTATCCCCATGTACAAGAAGTCGTCGTAGGCAGATAGCGTCAACGTCCCCCCCCCCCCCCCCCCCCGACGTTTGAGGTGACTAAATGACTCGGGGGGGGGGGGGGTGGTCAGCTTGTGTGTCATCGTAACCCGATGGCGTCGTACGTCGCTCGTAATATGAATCACCGACTTGTCTGATCCAGTTGTTTGTTGTTTAACGCCGGACTTGGCAATATTCCAGCTTTATGACGGCGGTCTGTAAATAATCGCGTCTGGACCAGACAATCCAGTGACTGACATCAGAAACATCGATCCACGCAATTGGGATATGATGACATGCATCAACCAAGTCAGTGAGTCTGACCACCCGATCCCGTTAATCGCTTGTTACGACAAGTACAGTCGCCTTTTACGACAAGCATGGGTTGCTGAAGACCTATTTTACCCTGGATCTTCACGGGTCTGCCTGATCCAGGTTCGACTGTTTACAGCCCGTCGTGAACAGCTTGAGTATTACTGACCCAAGTCGTACCAAGTAAACAAACAAACACACCTTAAAAATTAGCCAAAATACAGACGTTTAATCAGTTGGCAGTGGTAAGATGCCGTTGACGAGTTATCTGACTGGAGGTATCCGAGCGTTGGTTAAATGAGGGTGATTTGCCATCGATATTAGATAAATCAATCAATCTAGAGTGGAATCATTTCAACTGTACTGACAATAACGAAAAGAAACGTTTTGGAAGAATTTGTTTTCATAATTTTTGTGACTTTCCTTTGAATACCACCAGAATGCAAATGACAGTAGTCGGCAGCTCACGCAACAACGACGGACGTCGTGTTATTGTTACCGCGTTGTCGCACACTCTCATGCAAAGTTGCCCAGTGCGCTCAAACCCCCATCCCCAGGCATGCAAACAAAGGGGAGGGGGGTGGGGAAGTGAAGGTGTGTGTCACGTGACACACAGCGTTGATTTATCGCCCCGACGATGAGGGACGTTGCCACTGTGTTCTGCCTACAGCACGTGGCGCGTGACAAAGACATCAGAATAATAACACTTCTCCGAACCTCCCTGGCATGTGCGTTCGGCGTCTATTGTCCGCCCTCCCCCTCTTACTAGGCGGCTTGGGGTCTCGGAGCTTCGACTAGGAACTCCGAAACACTCGAGCTACACGGTAGTAGAAAGAAGTTAGTTCTCAAGCTAACGATAGCATTTGGCTCTCGTTGAAAGCTAGGCTGGAGTAGGTGAGAGACAATCGAATGGATTTATTCAGAGGTACGCTGAAGAGGCCTACTTTGAGACGGAGAGGCGAGTTTAAAACTAGAATAGAAATAGGAAGTATTCGGTGATACCTTTTGCAGTTTCTGGCAAACGTCAGCTCGGGGCTGAATGGAAAACAGTTGAATGGTCGGATTATTCAGACAGACGAAGAGGGGGGCTTTGAAATTGTTACGCTGGAGGTGGGAGGTTCGACGTTTGACCGGGGGTGATGCTGGATTAGTCAGCCACGAAGATTCAGCATCTGACTTAGGGAGAAGACAATGACATCATATCCCTTGTGCTTAGATGTGTATAGCTGATTGCTAGTGAGAATATTTAGCTGCCATTGTGTCTACCAGAGACGCCTGAGCCGAAACTGTAAGCGACGCTTGCGACACATTTTGTGTTGTGTTATTGGTTAATGGTTAAATGACGTGGTTTTAGGATTAAACTCTGTCAATGAGGCCAGGTTTTTGTTGTTGTTGTTTAACTCCGCACTCAGCAATATTTCAGCTATATGACGGCGGTCTGTAAATAATAGAGTCTAGACCAGACAATCCAGTGAGTGATATCATGAGCATCGATCCACTCAATTGGGATACGATGATATACATCAACCAAGTCAGCGAGCCTGACCACCCGATCCCTTAAGTCGCTTCTTACGACAAGCATAGTCGCCTTTTACATCAAGTATGGATCGCTGAAGACCTATTCTACCCCGGATCTTCACGGGTCAGTGAGGCCAATGACAACGAAACAAGTTTAGTGTGGGTGTAAGTTGATTTCTACTCTCCTTTGGCAATATCCCACCCATATCTAAGGGGGAGGGATCGAACCCGGACCTGGCGTTCCAACATTTTACCACTAGGCTACCGAATTGTCCAGCAAAATGTGTTTGTTTGTTTGTTTGTTCGCTCTTTAACGCCACACTCAGCAATAACACAGCTTAAGACGGCGGTCTGTCAATAATCGAGTCCCGACAATCCAGTGATTGATATCATGAGCATCGACC